TTCCTACTCCAAATACTAAAAACATTGGAAGACATGTATAACAATCACCTATTATTTTACAGGATACTGTTAAAACTTTTTTACTGATTTACCAAATCTGTATTCCATAAAGCGTGAGATTTTAATGTATGAATTTTAACACAATTGCAGATCTATAATGCTATTTTTCATTATTTACGTCTAAGCATACAAAACCAGTTTTCAATGCCATTATGAGTGAAAACATCTGACGATTAATCTCTCGCTAGATATAGTGTAACCTCACAAGATGTCAGTTATCTCCCCCTTACCACATGTCAATGTGCTTACTTGCTTGGTTGATAATAATATGTGGGTATTACAAGAATTTTCACCAATCCAATTTTCAAAGAATATCGTAATACATGTATATCACAATTCATTGTATATTTGGAAATGCAGGGTACATCTACAGCATCTGACCCCAATCAAGTCATCGTAGATATATATGTTTTTATTCAGTGGTACAGAATTGAAATATGCCTACCAAAAGCCTTAAAATAGAATTAATAAATGAACATATAGTATGTAACATATCATACAATCTTTGCTAAATAATAATTTCAGAAAATGTATCAAGTCTTTTGGTAACTATGGATTAAAACATGACCAAAACCCAAGGGCAGATAATAAATACTAAAAATTTACATATTCATGGCACAAAACAATGGCACAATGTAACCAATATATATACATTGTATAACCACAATTGTTATAACAATACTGAAAATGCTATTGGCAAAATCGTTGGCTAAATTAAAACAATACAAATGCTTGAATTCAAATCATGAAAGTTGGCCAAGGGGTCAATTTCATTTGACCAGATCTGATCAGCTCTTTACCCTATTGCAGAAAATACACATATCTAGTTCCTTTCCAGCAAAACATATTTTAGATTTAAAAACTGTGTTATTCGATCAAATTGTACTGAAAAGGCTGTAATTGTGATATCACATCAATACAAATGTTGAATATTATTGTAAGTGATCGAGAATCTATGCTTAGTATTCCGTTATTGGTAAAAAATGATAAAAGTATTTTTAAACAGGATCCTTGATGTTGATCTCTTGAGTATAACATTTGATCACCGAGTCTGATCAATCTATTAGGTTCCAAATTCATCACATACCTCTTAATATCATAATTTTATAGCAATTTGACATAGAAAATGTGATATAAAGTGAAAATTTACATCAACAGGCTTTGCTTTCATAAACATGATTTATTGAATGAAACAAATTATCATGTTTCCCTACGACAAAGGGAAAAAATATGTTATGATATCTAAAAAGAACAATAAAAAACATTAAAATTATCAGGACTGCTTGCAGCTTAAATCTACCAAAGAAGCTCAGAGAAGGAATAAACAGAGCTCTTGAAGGATTTACTATTTCGGTACATTTATTTATTTATAAAGTTATAAAATATTTGTAATTATACAATTGTGTCTACATTATAGATATTTTTATATATTTTTGTTTGAAGAACACAAAAAGAAACAAGAAAAGTCATTGTTTGCAAAGTACAGATTCATTTATATTTGATTAATTTAGAATGTTCACCATTTTGCCATTTGGAAGTCGCCAACAGTTGTTGTGTATACATATATCAAAGACTGCCATGTGTAATATATGTTCGTTTTTTTTTTTATCTTATCAGTAAGAGACTTGTATGTGTCCTGTAATAAACCAGTGACGGCAGCATTATCAGACTGATCAAGACCCCACGCAAGGATATCGTTTCCGAACATTTTCTGGAGTTTTGTCCATTTTGTTTTCTTTTTCTATTTAAAAAGCAAACATGATTTTGGTATAACGGTGGTTGCGTTCTATCTTATCCCTATAATATGGGGAAGAGAATCAAGATCAGGGTGGTGATACTCTAAAAGTCCATAGCATAGCAATATTGTACTTAAAATTAAGGTTGTGCGAAACAGCAAAAAACTCGACTTCTTGATGATCTTGAGAAACAGCGACACATGTTCTGCCCTTACAAACAGAACAGGCGAGGATAAGATAAACATAAGTGACATTTAGCCCGCGTTTCTCTAGCCCTGACACTAGACTTACACATTTTGACAGACCAGACATATATCTGTGTCAACAAGAATCCACGTACCTTTCTGGAACATCATATTTTGTTATACGTTTTAGGGGTGTTGATTTGAAGATTTAATTTGTAAATAATTTGCTGTAGTTTCATATGTTTTTGAGTCTTAATACCGGTTTGATTGTCACTTCAGTTATTATATATTTACAAATACTTTACTATAGTTTCAAATGTTTTTTGTCTAGCGAGTGCGCTTATCCCCGGTAGAATATTATGTAATTTATTATTTCACAAAGTATTTATTTAAGGATTAAAATGTATGTTGACGAGGCGGAATATTTGGATTGTTCGTGAACGTCCTGTAACCAAAGTTTATACGACACATTCGGATTAATATTGAACAAGTTCTTACATTTCCATGTCAGTATGTATACCAATCGGTGCTTATCGACAAAATCGATGATTATTTGTATAGATTTTTGAAGAGTTTTGTGTAAATGCATACGACACATGTGAAATGTTTGATTTGATTTCGGATCTAAATAGATGCCTTTACATGGATGGAACGAACGTTTCAGTAATAAATGGAGGTAAGAACAAGGAATGCGTTCTTTTTACTTTTTAATTCATTCAACAAATGCATTTTATCGGTCGTTTCTGTTCTGTTGCCTACTAGCCTTATCAGCGGTATTGCGCTATGAGGCGAGCTTGCGATAGAATCATGATCAATCGTGTTAAGCTCCTCCCATCGCACTTAAGCCACGCCCCGTTTCTAACAAAAACAATATGGTGTCAAGCTCGCCTCATAGCGAAATCCCGCTGATAAGGCTAGTAGACAACAGAACAGAAACGACCGATGAAATGCGTTGGTTGAATGAATTAAAAGAACACATTCCTTGTTCTTACCCCCATATATAACTGAAACGTTCCTCTATCCGTGTGAAGGCATCTATTTAGATCCGAAATCAAATCAAACATTTCACATGTGTCTTATGCACTGACACAAAACTTTTCACAAATCTATAAAAATAATCATCGATTTTGTCGATAAACACCGATTGGTATGCATACTGACATGGAAATGTAGGAACTTGGTCAATATTAATCCGAATGTGTCGTATAAACTTTCGTAACAGGACGTTCACGAACAATCCATATATTCCGCCTCGTCAACATACAGGTCGAGCGCTCGCCAGTATGGGCGGGGCTAAATGACCGATTTTTGAAAGTTTCTTTCCGATTGGTCAGTCCGCTGCAGAATGACACGTCGCCAGTTCAGGTCACAATGTACTTTTGTACAAGGAAATACAATGTTTTTAAACATATTAGCGTAGTATATTTGTTAAGGTGTGTTAGAATGGGGATAGTACGTTGTTTTTCGTGTCTTTACTGGCGATTAGAACATGAAATTGGGTTGAAACTCTCGACCTATCGGTCTCGAGTTCAAACCCAAGTTTCATGTTCTAATCGCCAGTATAGCCATTCAAAACAACGTACTACCCCCTAATTAGTACTCTTGTAATTATGTTGACATGCTTAAAATATCACACACGCCAATTCACAGCGTGTGTAACATAGGTCGTAGCATCCACTACATTGTGTGTGTATATACGCCAAACAGGGAGCTTGGCATCCGTGTCTTACAGACACATTTCGATATTTTAAAAAACAAAATGTCATTGTAAAATATAACATAATTGATGCAAGGTTCCTTGCTTCCGGGACCTGATAACAGAATTCAGCAGTTTCAAGCACTTCAGTCATATGCTCAGAGAACTACATGGCCCTTGGCCTTTTGTTAACATATCCTTTAGATGTTTCCGAGTGGATTTAACTGCGAGAGAATTACTAAATTCACATCTAGGCTGTTATATAAAAAATGTGATGACGTTTTATACTACAATGTTTGGCTCGGCATTTGTAATTCTTTCTTCTGATTGAAGTTGCTCGGCGTTGAAATTTTGCGTAATACTATGTTTTGTGCTAAAATCTTTTGTTTTTATTAGAAATGAATAAATATTCGTTAACTTTGAACTAAAACGTGTTGTCTGTCAATTATACGGACTAGCTTTGACCATTTCTCTCGCTCACGATTGATGTACAAAAGTGCACATTCTACGGTATATATAACTAAAGAAGATATCGCATAGGACTTCGTATTTGTGTGGACCCATGAAAAATGTTATATATTTATGATCTGTTTTCATCTTCTTATAAGGTAACATTAAAGAAACCAATATGAGATACTGTTCCAATGGTAATATTTTGAACCTCCTTTTTCTGTTCTTTCCGTCCTACTCGTTCTTTTGGTAGTGTCTCCCTGGGTATTTCTGGTTATCCCGGTATCAGTATAACGTGACTACAGTGGAGTGTCATGATACTCTTTAAAGCGGCCCAATCATTTTTGGACAACATATCTTTATACGATATGATTTGACAGTAGTAACAGAACAGAAAAGACAGACACACAAACAACATAAAGAGACAAAGAAATATCATTCTGATCAAATAGAGACATACCACTGTAGCAATCTAACTTTCCGTGTTAAAAATCAATCAAGTACGATCAGTTAATGGTATACGCTTTTATAAGAATAAAACAATGAATCTGTTATATTGTTAAACTTTTTATCAACCACACAAAACAAGAGAACATATTGCGTCTTCCCTACACTTACATGTGCGTGATGAACGTCTGAGATACGTGTTTTATGTGGCTACTGGTAAGTAAGTCGATATATCACTGCTACTGGAGAAGAAATCCAGAGAATGTTGTTGTATGCCTATCGGCGTAAATGTAACTTCCAGGATTATGGTAATTTACTCGGACCCAAACCTCATCTGCTTGGTCCAGTTGCACAACCACGGATCCTCCTCCGATTCCGCTGTACTGGGAATCTCCAGAGAACGCACTCCCAATCACGTTACCGTTTTTTACCAGTTCCGTGTACATATACCGAGAATTCACGTGTACTGTCCACGAGAACACATACACGCCCGCATGTGTACACGTGAAAGTACCCGTGTTTCCACTTTAAGAACCCCCAATATTAGTGATCACACGGTCGAAACGCATTTCCATAAGATCAGACAATTGGGATATAGTGTGTGTTAGAACAGCATAAAATGCCACCATACCTTGATTGTTCGGGGAAACACGTTTTTTAATGCTTTGGTTACTTGTTTCCAACGTTGGACTTGGTAACTCGGAATTTCTGGGATGGAGTCCAACACTTCTCGTTTTCCTAACGCTAGGCACGCGTCTTCCATCAGCCATATGTGTTGTACTGTTGGTAAACGAGTTAAAGGGCAATTTCTGACGGGGGTCAAAGTTTCTACGAGGTTCCTGTTTATTAGGGTAGGTTAAACGACGTTGATCACCAACTGTGTCGTTCTTCTCCATGTCAGCAATACGGCGTTGAAAAACACGTTGTTGTTTCTCAAGGTCACCAATACGTTGCTGATCATCTTGTCGCTTTTTCTCAAGGTCATCTATGGTTTGATTGTCCTCATCTCTTTTGTTTACAAGGTCAGAAATACGGCTGCGATCAATTTGTTGTTGTTTCTCAAGGTCGGCAATACGTCTCTGGTCAATTTGCTGCCATTTTGCAAGATCATCGATGCGTAGTGCGTCTTCATTGCGCAGATGTTCTACAGTAGATAACCTTAACTGTAAGTCTAGTATTGCTTTGCTATGGACTTGTAGCGTATCGCCACCCTGGTTCAGTATCTGTCCCCATACTATTGGGGCAAGACATAACGACATCACCGTTATACTTAACTTCATGTCTCCTTTTTGGGAAAATCAACAGACAACACTCCAGACAATGTTCGGAAACGATATTCTGTCTTAACGTCTTGATCACTCCGATACTGCTACCGTCACTGGTTCCTTACAGGGCACACAGGTCTTTATAGCACCTACGTTTACCGATAAGATAAAAAAAACTAACATATGCCATGTTACAATCCTCGACGCATGTCTACCAACTGTTGGCGACTTTTTTCAAAGTAAAATGATTCGATATTTTGAATTAATGTAATAAAAAGACATGTAGTGCTATACAAACAAATACTTTCATTTTTATATTTTTATTTGTTTTTCAAACATGAATATATACAAATACAACCCTTTCCTACACAAAATACTAAAAACATTGGAAGACATATATAACAATCACCTACTATTTTACAGGATACTGTTTAAAGTGTATTACTGATTTTGCAAATCTATATTCCATAAAGCGTGAGATTTTAATGTATGAATTTTAACACAATTTCAGATCTATAATGCTATTTTTCATTATTTACGTCTAAGCAAACAAAACCAGTTTTCAATGCTATTATGAGTGAAAACATCTGACGATTAATCTCTCGCTAGATATAGTGTAACCTCACCAAATAACAGTTATCTCCCCATTACCACATGTCAATGTGCTTACTTGCTTGGTTGATAATAATATGTGGGTATTAAAAGAATTTTAACCAATCCAATTTTCAAAGAATATTGTAATACATGTATATCACAATTGATTGTATTTCTGGAAATGCAGGGTAATCCCCCCCTCCCCC